CAGGAATAAGAAGGGCTACAATCAGAGAGACCCTGGGGTGCCCCTTGGGCCACTCTAGCCTCCCAGGGAAAGCTTCCCTCAGGAGAGCCTCTTCTGAAATCCTGGGCCTTTGGAATTACTGGCCAGAAGGCGGGGGAGGATCCTGTGGCCTCTCCAAGTGTCTGGCTAGTCCATGAACCCCAGGCCTGCTCTGGGGACAGAGCCAGCAGAAAGCACCCTGGAGGGCTTCAGCTTTCCTTTCTGAACTCCACGTGGGTGTAATTGAAGGTTCCAGTTGATGTGTGGGGAGCTCCGGTCAAATTTTAGAACATAACTCCTGAGGTCTCAGGGTTTCCAAGAACTGAGTCAGTTCCGGAAGCCCTGGCGGTGGGAAGAGGCAGCGTGGACTGAGGGGGAGAGGAGTGCTCCCAGGATCCAGGTCCCAGCTTCCAGGGGCTGTTTTTCCCTCCGTCTGCCGATGGTGACGGCAGCCCTGCCCCAGAAGTCGGGAACGTGGGCTGAGTCACTGTGGCTGCAGAAGGCTGACCCTCTGTCAGGGCTGGGCCACAAAGGGTCAGGATTGCAGCGCTCAGACGCTCAACCCTCTCGGGGGGTGCACCCCCCTTCTGCCCCCAGTTCCCCATCCTGGCAAGGCCCACCCTGTAGTCCCATCAAGCTCTGTAGGCCCAGGTCCCCACCTTTGTCCCATTGCCACGTCCTGATGCTCTGGACAGAGGACACTGACCCTCTGAAGTCCTCAAGTCAGACTCCGGTTTGAACTTCGCTGTGCCCCCTGCCCACCTCACTGACTTTGTCCATCCTCTCAGTGTCGGGAGGCCAAAGCACATGCGCGTGATGGCTGGAGCCCTGGAGGGGGACCTCTTCATCGGACCAAAAGCGGAGGTAACACCATGGAGCCCACCTTCCCAGGTCTGGTCCTTAACCGCAGAGACACTGGCTGGTGGTCAGAGGCATCTGCTTGAACCTTCTGCTGGAGCCCCCAGGGCTTCTCTTCCATGTCCCAGCTGTATGGCGCCATGCCCCCGCCCCCATGAGACGAGGCGGCACTTCCTGTCCTGAGGAACGTGCTCAGACCGCACCGGATCCTGCGTGTTAGGAGCTGTGTGGGAGCTACAGAGGAAAGCACTGATGACAGAGTGACTTAGGAATTAGAATCCCCCAGACTTTCATGCCTGCCTCTAAACGGCCGTGGCCGGGGTGACTTGCCCAGGACCACACGGTCAGCTCAGCCCCTTGGCAGAGCAGACACGCCACGACTGTGGGGAAGAGAGGCCAAGTTTGGGCAAGTGCAGTGTGGGCTCCTGGAGGACACAGTGAGGGGCGCCAGGGAGTGGGGCACGGCTCTAGGCCCAAAAAGGGGGCCCTGAGCCGAAGGAGCGGACAAGGGGCTCTCAGGAGACAGCGTCAGTGGGAGCCGTGGTTAAGGGCAAGGGAAGCAGGGCAGATGGAAGCAGGCGCCCAGAGCCTGCAGCCACGCCCCGTGAGAGCAGTGGGCACAGGTGATATGGGAGCTATGGCTGACCGTGGAGATGGGAGCCAGGCAGGGTGCACGGAAGGAATGGGGAGAACATGTCGGTGGCGAGCTCGGGGAAGCCAGGGAGCACGGCTGTGGGAGGAAGAGAGACACTGAGGGTGGGGGGCTCGGTGCCACCTTGCGCCTGAGAGCCAGAGAAGCCATTGGACAGGTCACCCTGTGCCGACTTCAGGTCACCATCTGCTCCAGTCGGGGCAGATGGAAGAGTTGGTGCCACCCCTGCCCTTCCCCTCTCCCCAGGAGCACCGGGGGCTGCTGGCCATCCGTTACCCCATGGAGCACGGCGTGGTGCGGGACTGGAACGACATGGAGCGCATCTGGCAGTACGTCTACTCCAAGGACCAGCTACAGACCTTCTCCGAGGAGGTGCGGCCGGCGCCCCCTGCTGGCTCCCGGCCTCCCGGCTGTGCCCTCTCCTTGTCCGCTTCCTCCCTGGTCCGGGCTCCCACATTTCCTCTCCACGTTTTTTTTTTTTTTTTTGGAGGGGTTTTTGTTATGGAGCACGTCGCTCCGCGCGTGATTTTGCTATAGGACACGTGAGCTCTCCAGAGAGACAGCAAGAAATCACCCCCTTGGGGGATGGCCACACCGCAATCCCTTCTCCATTCTCTCGGGATCTTGGACACGCATGCACACGTGCCTGGCATGAGTTTAAGTCACCGGGTCCAGGACTTGAACCGTGGTCAACTACATGGGAGTCCAGCGACATACCATTATGCCCACTGCTGGTCCCTCCTCTCCACATTTGATGGGGCCTGCTACCTTTTCATTGTGTATCTGTTCGTCCTAGCCAGTGGTTGCCAGGCAGAATTTTCCAGAGCGCGCCAGGTCTTTGGAAGAGGAACTGGGACAGATAATAGGATGGAGGCCTTGGGAAGCAGGAGACCTGCTGGAGCCCCCGGGCCCGCAGCGGGGGGCTGGCTCCCTGGAAAGGTCCTTTCAGGGCCTGGCTTGGCTTTCACATGCCCAAGGCTCTCCCTTCTCTCGTAGCATCCTGTTCTGCTGACAGAGGCCCCGCTCAACCCGAGTAAGAACCGGGAGAAGGCAGCAGAGGTGTTCTTTGAGACCTTCAACGTGCCGGCCCTGTTCATCTCCATGCAGGCTGTGCTCAGTCTGTGAGTGCTCCCTGAGTCCCCATCCTCCCGCACCGTGACCAGGTGTCTCACTTCCCTAGAGTCCCTCGATGACTCTTCCTTTAGGGAGTCCTTCCTGTCCCTTTTCAGATCATGAAAATGCCCCAGGGTCCCTTCCCCGGGTGAGGAGAGGTCCCCTTGCCTCAGTGGCTGAGGTGAAGGGATGCTGACCTGGTGACAGGTACGCCACAGGACGCACGACAGGAGTGGTTTTAGACTCGGGGGATGGGGTCACTCATGCTGTCCCCATCTATGAGGGCTTTGCCATGCCACACTCCATCATGCGGGTGGACATTGCCGGCCGCGACGTCTCTCGCTATCTCCGGCTGCTGCTGCGCAAGGAAGGGGCTGATTTTCACACCTCGGCCGAGTTTGAGGTTGTCCGGACCATCAAAGAGGTGACGAAGGATGGGAGGGTGGTGGCCTGACCTGGGGTGGATAGAGGGGTGAGACCAAGGCATGAGGTTGAGCCCTGGCTGTGGCTGTTCCCGCTGCAGCCCTCTGAGAGGTGTCCCCCCCACAGCGAGCCTGCTACCTGTCCATCAACCCGCAGAAGGACGAGGCCCTGGAGACAGAGAAGGTGCAGTACACCTTGCCCGACGGCAGCACGCTTGACGTAAGTGGCCCGGCCTGGCCCTGGGTGGCAGCTGATGCCAGGCCCTGAGGAGAAGGCCTGACTTCTCTGGGGAGCCTTTCTGCCTCACTCTTGTGCTCTGAAGGTGGGGCCTGCACGGTTCCGGGCCCCCGAGCTGCTGTTTCAACCAGACCTGGTTGGGGACGAGAGCGAAGGCCTCCACGAAGTACTCGCCTT